AATTTTGATGCCAAATTCTTCTATATATAATCCAGCTTCTTGGATTATTTCCTCAGCATACAAACTGAATAAGTATGGTGAAAGGATACAACCCTGCTGTGCACCTTTCCTGATTTAAAACCATTCAGTATCCCGTTGACCTATTTTAAAAATTGCCTTTTGGTCTATGAATAAGTTCCTCAGGAGCACAATTAAGTGCTCTGGAATACCTATTCTTCACAATGTTATCCATAATCTTTCAGAATCTACACAGCCTTTGCATAGTCAATAAATCACAAATAAACATCTTTCTGGTACTCTCTGCTTTCAGGCGAGATCTGTCTGATGCCAGTAATGATATCCCTAGTTTCATGTCCTTTTCTGAATTGACTTGTATTTATATAAATTCTTTGTCGATGTACTGTTGAAACCGTTTATGAATTATCGTCAGCAAAATTTAAGTTGCACATAAAGTTTTTGCACATTTCATTATAATACTTGACTTTGCTTCCTCAAGCTGCTCTTGGAAATTTTTCTGTTTACCGCCTTATTTCTTCCACTCCTTTAGCTTCTCTACATTCAAGAGCAAGTTTCAGAGTGTCTTCAGACATCCAATTTCAGTCTTTTCTTTCTTTCATCTTTTTAATAGCCTTGTGCTATCATCCTCTTGATGTCATCCCACAGCTCTTCTGGTCTTCGATCCTTAGTGTGTAATGCAATGAATTTGTTCTTGAGATGCCCTCTACATTCAGGTGGGAGATATTCAAGGCCATCTTTTGGCTCTTGTAGACTTGTTTTAATGTTCTTCAGCTACAGTCTGAACTTACATATGAGCAACTGATGGTCTGTTCCACAGTGTGCCCCTGGCTTTGTTTTGGTTGATGTAGTCAATTTGATTCCTCTGTATCTGGTGAGCACCATGTATATAGTGGCCTTTTACATTGTTAATAAAAAACATATTTACAATGGATAAGTTGGTCTTGTAAAATTCTATCATGTGTTCTCCACCACCACTTGTATCACCAAAGCCATATTTTTCAACTACTGATCCTTCCTCCTTGTTTCCAACCTTTGAATTTCAATCACCAGAAATTATCAATGCATTTTAAATGGATTTTTGATCAATTTCAGACTGAAGAAGGTGGTAAAATTCTTTAACTTCATCTTCACTGGCTTTTTTTTATAGCTGTTTCGCCTCATTTTGAGTTATGCCCCATCAGCAAATGAAGGTTCTGAAATCTTTACTCCATTCGTGCCATTATGTTTAACTCTATTTTGAGGCGTTAGCTCTTCCCCAGTTATACACTAAGTACCTTTAAAGTTGGGGGGCACTTTATCTGAGAATATTCTGCTGCTATTCATAATGTTTTCATCTTCTGGTAGTCTATCTGGCAATGCCCCTTCCACTGCTAGTCATAAGGTTTTCAATGGCTAACTATTCAGAAGTAATCTTCTGGTCCTTCTTCCTAGGCTGTCTTAGTCTGGAAGTTCTACTGAAATCTGCCCAGCATGATGATCCTGCTGGTATTTCAAATACCATTGGCATAGCTTCCAGCAATACAGCCACAGGCAAGCCACCACAGTACAACACAATGACCTTAGCTTGTTTCAAAAGATTAAGATTTAATAGCTTTGCTATATGGGTAGTTACTGACACGAATTATCTAACAACAAATTTTAAAAACTGATTATTTGAGGTTTACTGACTGACTCAACTAAGAGTAATGTAATCAAGAACTGTAATGGTTTCAATTCTGGGAGAAACTGAGGAATTACATTTAATAAAGGAAGTACACATTTCACTAAAATTCTGAGCATCAACTATGAGCAAACCTACTCTAGACTTTCCTGTTACGGCTGCTTTTACAGGCTCCTTTTATTATATTAAATATTTTCAATATAAATATTTTATGGTACAACATATTAATGCATAAGCTTCATAAACAAAAATCTTCATTCACTAAAACATCTAAGGGGCAGAAACTTGCATTACACATTAGCTAAGGCAACCTTTTTGTGATAACTTTAAAATCAATATTTAGGGCGGAAAAAAAGCCATTTAGTCAATTATAGCTCATGGGGACCTAAAGTGTGTCAGAGTAGAATTGTGCTCTACAGGCTTTTCTATGGTCATTAATTCTCAAAGGTATAAATTCTTCTTTGGTCTTCCATATTCATTATCCAGCTTTCTCATGCATATATGGTGATTACAATTTCTTTGCCTTGGGTCAAGTACCTTATTTCTCAAAGTGACATCTTTGCTTTTTAATACTTTAAAAAGGTCTTTTGAAGCAGACTTGCCCAATACAGTCCAGTATTCCATTTCTTGACTGTTACTTCTATAGGCATTGATTGTGGATCCATGCAAAATGAAATCTTTAACAACTTCAATCTTTTCTTCATTTATCAGAACGTTGCTTACAGTGAGGAATTTTTTTTCAATATGTTGGTACGTAATCCATACTGAAGTCTTTGAACTTCTTCAGTAGCTGCTTTAAGACCTCTTCACTTTTAACAAGCAAGGTTGTGTCATCTGCATATGGCAGGTTGTTAATGAGTCTTTCTCCAATCTTGATGCTGTATTCTTCTTCATATAATCCATCTTCTCAGATAATCTGCTCAGCATATATTGAAGAAGAAATGGTGACACACTTTACATCATGCAGTATCCACTTGTTCTATTCAAACCACTGCCTCTAAGTCTCTGTGTAAGTCCATGTAAACAAACTTAAATGCTCTGGAATTCCCATTCTTTAAAATATTATTCATAATTTGTTATGCTCTACAAAGTTGAGTGATTTTGCATAGTCAATAAAACACATGTAAACATCTTTCTGGTATTCTCTTATTTCAGCCAAGATCCATCTGATGTCAACAATGTTATCCCTCATTCCATGTCCTCTTCTGAATACAGCATGAATTTCTGGCAGTTCCCAGTCCATATACTATTAACACCTTTTCAAAATTCTTCAGCAACATTTTACATAAGTATTATATTAAAGGTACTGTTCAATAATTTTCACATTCTGTTGGATCACCTTTGTTTGGAATGCATAAGAATCTGGACGTCTTCCAGTCGGTTGGCCAAGCAACTATCTTCCAAATTTCTTGGCATAGATGAGTGTTTCCAGAGCTGCATCCATTTGTTGAAACATCTCAATTGGTATTCTGTCAATTCCTGGAGTCTTGATTTTTGTCCATGTCTTCAATTCAGGTCCAAGTTCTGACTTCAATACAATTGGTTCTTGATCATATGCTACCTCCTGAAATGGTTGAACATTGATCAATTCTTTCTGCTACAGTAACTGTATATTTCTTTCATCTTCTTTGATACTTCCTGTGTCGTTCAATATTTTGTCCATCGAATCCTTTGGTATTGCAACTTAAGGCTCAATTTTTTTTTCTAGATATATATAGAACAATGACATTACCAAAACCAAATATTATAGACTGTTTTCTTGCCTTGGTAATTAACAGGATCTGAAAATCGCTGAATAATATTTATTTAATATTTACTGAGCACCATATAAGGAAATGTCAAAAGCATTTCTACATATATCATTCAATCCTAGACACAATTCTATAAAATGAGAAATAATCCCATTATCTAGACAATAACAATGAAATTAGGCAACTTGTTCAATGTCAAGTATGTTAAACTTTTAATGTAGGTCTTCTGACTCCAATTTAAATTTTGTTTTCACTATACACAGTTGTTGAATATAAAAACCAATGGATTAAATCAGCATAGTCACCTCTCTTATCAACTGATGTTATTATTAGTAACAACTAGCACCATTTATTGGGATCTTAACATGGCACTGTAAGATAAGCACTGGACTTATACACAAGGTCAGTGGTTCAGACACACCATCCACTCCTGAGAAACCCTAGCAAGGTCAGTATGAGTTGGAAATTGACTCAATAACACTTAGCAATGTTAACACCATTATTAAGAGCTTCATATATGTCAGATGTTGTGCTAGATACTTTGCCAATATTATTTCACTCACAGGGACAATTCCTACTTACCCTCTAATGTTACATAAATATTGTCCTCACTTTGAAAAGACAGAACCAACCCTCACTTGCAACAAATTCTTCATCTCAACCCCCTTCACTTGCTGCACGTATTACAATGAGACTATCGAAAAACACATTTACTGAGCGTTGTATATTTTAGAGTAGCTACATCTCAAAAATCTAGAAATTAAGCATATTTAAAATTAATATGTCAAAGTATACATTACTGGAACAAAAGAAACAACTTTATAAAATCTCCAAATATATCAATGGCTTACAAGATCTTTCCTTTGAGCAAATAGCTAAATTAATTAATTTTTTAAAAACTCTCATTGTTCTATCCTTATAATAACCTAGAAAGCTAAAAATGGTCTTAAATTTAAAAAAAAAAAAGAAAACAAGAAACCAAAAAAACCCCCACAAAACCATATGGGCATAAAGAATAAATGTTTGGAAGGAAATATAGATGGATATATCTTATTTTCTATTCAACACTGAAACATTTTCTTTTAAGAAATATTTTTCTACACTACAAGCTTAGAAATTCATGCAGAATAAGAAAACTCACTCAAACTCAGATCAGTTACAAGAAAATTATATTATATATTTTAAAAATTACTTAATACTTTTCACTCTCCTTGTAAACACTTGATTGGTTGGTTATGTGCCATGGAGTCGGCTGCAACTCATAACGATCCTGTATATGGTTTCTAAGGCTGTAACTCTTTATGGGAGCAGAAAGCCTCATCTTTCTCCCACAGAACAGCTGGTAGTTTCGAACTGCTGACCTTGAGGTTAGCAGCCCAATTTGTAACTACTATTCTACCAGAGCTCCTTTAACACTAGGCATACCAATATTCATAACTTTGTAGCCTAAAGTGCAATCTGTTCTTAAATACCTAAAACTTTCAGTGTACCTGTAGAAATCAATATACAATCAGGAAAAGTTTCTTTGTTTGAAAAATATCTTTCAAACAAACAAATAAAATAAGACTTACCATTTTGATGCCAGTGGAAAACGTCACTGGCTTTATAGTTTTGGGTTTTTCAAGTTGCATTTCCAATTGGGTAGATCGATCTTTATGCTGAGCCAAAAGCAAAGCAACAGGGAGATCAGAACTCTCCTGATTTAAAAGAAAAAAAAAAAAAAAATTAATGTTCAATATGAAGGTTAAGAAAACAGAAAAGCACTAAGTCTTTTATTTTAAATCATGCCTTTTCCAGAAGCATTTGCAGTCAAACTAACATTCACTTTATAAAGACAATTTATAGAAAATAGTAACATTCTGTAATAAGAAAAGGCTGTTAGAGACTCATAAATCAAAATAACCTGCAAACAAGTATTTTTATAAAATCCACATAAAAGACAGTGTAATAGGATCCTATTTCATCTGGCAAAGCCAACCCAATTTATTAAAATAAAATAAAAAATTAGAAGCTAATCTTAAAAAAAAGGAGTACAAAGTAGTGTAATTTAAATCAGATGTTTATCTTAGACAAATTCTTTTTACCAGTGAATTTCGACCAGTTTGAAATTGTTTCCCATTAGATTTCACCTGAGGCTGTTTGGAAATGATCCTTGTTCTGTTTTGCACAATGGACCTATTGTAAGTACTACCAAAAGTTTATTTTCTCCTTTACTAACTTGTTTTTAGTAATCAAGTCAAAAAACTTTAACAAAATGACAATTAAACATTTTTCAAATCATCTATGGATATAGTAAATCAAGGCCACTATTTTTACCTATCTATGAAACACACAAACATTTAATAGCACAAGAAAATTACTGAGTGAATTTTTATGTATACTGTTATTTATCCTGTTTATCATGAAGTCCCTCTTAACATGTTTGAAGTGCTGTGACGCTAAGGCCTAAAATAAACAATATCTAAACATTTTTTTTTTTTTTGTAATTAGTTAAGTATATGGTGGTGTTAGTTACGTGCTGTGGAGTCAGTTCCGACTCATAGAGACCCTGTACAGAGTTTCTGAGACTGTAAATCTTTACAGGAGCAGAAAACCTTATCTTTCTCCCGTGGAACAGTTGGTAGTTTCAAACTGCTGACCTTGAGGTTAGCAGCCCAATTTGTAACCACTACACTACCAGAGCTCCTGGTTAAGTAGATAAGAATAGAGAAATAGATACACAAGGAGGAAAGAGATCACACACAAACACACATAGAGTACCTTGTATATTTCTTAAAAAATATGAAAATATGAATACATTCTATATTCTGTACTAAGTTACCAACAAAAACAAACTTATTGCTCAAATGGCCTATAGATTTTTTTTAATAGTGACTAAGGCAGAAATAAGATTCAAACTAGTCATCTCAAATTAATCCTATGGAAACTTTAGAGTCAACCTATCACAATAAGAAGGCAAATAGCAGATTCGAATTTTCTTTCCAAATCCAATAACTTAATTTTTTAGTTGATAATGTGGTTAATTAATTAAAGGAATTTGTCTTACGGTTACAAAGTAGAAGTAATTCAAGTAACATACAATTGATTTAATTCAATAGAATTGTCCTAGAACCTTGTCACCTCAAGATTTTCTAATAGAAGTGCTTTACAAGAGGAACGTTACAAAACATCTAAGTGTTTAAAACTAAATGAAAGAATACAGATTTTATTTCTAAAACAGAACCTCATTAAGAAACAAAATCATTGAGACCTGGCTTTAGGAATAATAAACCAGAACAAATGAAATATGTTGTTGTTGTTGTTGTTGCTGTTAGGTGCCCTCAAGTTGGTACCGACTCATAGTGAACCTATGCACAACAGAACAAAACACTGCCTAGTCCTGCGCCAACTTCACAATCATTGTTACATTTGAACCGATTGTTGCTGCCACTGTGCCAATCCAGCTTGCTGGGGGGTTTCCCCTTTTTCACTGACCCTACACTTTACCAAGAATGATGTTCTTCTCCAGGGACTGATCCCTCCTGATAATATGCCTGAAGTATGAGAGACCAAGTCTGGTCACCCTATATTCTAAGGAACATTCTGGCTGTACATCTTCCAACACAGATATGTCTGTTCTTTTGGATGTCCATGGTACTTTCAATAACTCAAATGGATCAATTATGTTACAGTTTGCCTGAATACTTTTCATATTCTAAAGACTCCAGGTTGCATAATGGGTTATGCACTGGACTATTATACACAAAGTCAGCTGTCCAAATCCATCGCATTCTGCTCCCATAAAGATTTATAGCCTCGGAAACCCTATACAGGGAAGCTATGAGTTCAAACCAACTCAATGGCACACAACCACCACCTTTCACATACTATAATAAATCATCAGTAATACATTAACAACAACTAATATTGCTGTAAATTCCAGTAGCTATCCTATATTTCATTAAGAATTATATAATAAAATACTATACTTAAAGGCATCTTAA